CCCTAGCCCCCTTCCACAACAGAAGCAAACAAGGAGCTGTGCTCAGATAGAGTAATGTTGTCTCTATTTCCTCCTACAAAGACAGAGGACGACGGAAGGCGGAGAGATTCTGTGGAACGCCTTCAAAACACTGCTGCTTGTGGAGAACACCAGGACATTCTCTGTTTGATGGCTGACACTCCAAGATTTGGACAAGTGAGGTCACCCCCTAGAGGGTGTATGGGCAGTTGGACAAAGGCACTAGCCTGGGGGTCCAGAGGCTCTCCACTATGAGAACTCCATCCCCACTCACTGTCTGACCTCAGGGAAGGCTTTTTCTCTCTCATTGGACGGTTGGGCTCCTCTTCTGGTAAATGGGACCAGCACAAAGGTCCCTGGTGGTCAGTATAACCTGGTAAAGCATAAAACAGCATCACTCTAGGGGAAGTCTGAGGTCCCATCCCCTGGTCCTCATGGGAAACAGACAGCTTCAGGAACACAAGGGTCCCCTCCACACAGTATGGAAAAAACAGAAGTGATGCTTTTCCTGACGTTATATCATACAACTGCAAAATTCTCACCTCTGCAATGGGGGAGCCTCAACCCCACCTCAGGATGGAACAAGGCTGCCAAGCCCAGGTCAGGGATGGACGGGGTTGTTTCTGTGAGAGAAGGGAGGACAGGCAGGAGGCGGCCCAGCTCAGGCTGGAAAGGAGGGAAATACTGGCTAGTTTAAAAATGCATCCTGACAACTCTAATGGGAAGAAAACTCTACTTTCCTCTTAGGTTCTCAACCACTGTGAAGAAATCAAGAAACAAGTGCCTCACACTCCTCATATCCTTCACTGAGGATTGAAGAAAAAGCAGCGGAAATAAGCCCCGAGCTGAAGAGTTCATCAGATATAAGAACTGACTTTCTAACTGGGCTAGCTACTGAGGACTGGAAAATACCAAGAGAAATGCGTGGCAAATCTTTCCTGGAAAACTCTTAGAAAGAGCACAGAAATTCAGGCTTAACACAGGATTTCAGTCTCACTTCCCTCTTCCTAATACACACACACACACACATTTTGAAACAATTGCTTCTCTGCACTCCAGAGGCTGGCATCACAGAGATGAGAGATTTAAAAAAAAACTATTACGTGACCCATCCGAGGTCATGAGGTCATTGAGAGGTGCGAGAGGAGATATTCCTAGATATTCAAGGATGACCCCACCCTCTATGAGGTCTTCAGGGACATCAAAGGAGAGATGCCAGAGAAAAAATAAAAATCAAGAGAACAAATAATCAACCACTTGGCTTGGACTTCTTAGAAAAGCTCTTAAAACTTAAAGCTGAGGCAAGAGAGTTCTGATTTGCAAGAACTGGAGATATAACGCAAAGACCAAAGGCTGGAAGAAGCAGAACGCTCCGAGACTCACAAGACCAGGTGTCAGACCCTGCCTCACATGCCTGCGACACTCACACCCAGCCCTAAGCCAGGCTGAGGCTACAGGAAGTACCCGTTCGGGAAGGAGAAGAACAGATGCAGGCAGGTGAGGCCCCAGGAAAGCTTCTGCTCACCCCTGTTCTCCAGCTCAACTCTGGGTCCCAGGCAGGGATGAGATGCTTGTGAAACCACAGGCAGCTGAACGGCCCCAGCGACAAAGAAGCCCTGGGCTCACCTACCATGTGGAAATCTAACTGGGGGCAAGCTTTGTGGAACTACCTCTGCATAAAATAGAAACGGCTGCTCAGCAGATCCAAGGACAGAGGGCTTGAGAGAGCACCCTCACCAGTCTTTCTTGGACACTAAAACATTATGAAACGACATGCACAAGTCTTCTGTGGCTCTGAGGGGGGCCAGCAGGGGCTGCGTGAGGATGAGTAAACCCAGAAGAACAGGACCTAGAAGAGCGGGCACCGGGTCTGACCCAATGGTGGCAGTAAGCACAGTTCATGACGGGAGTCAGATATCTTCCATCGGACATAGGGAGTGTGCACACGGCAGGCCAGCTCACCGGAGGCGGCGATAGCTCTCTGCAGATGGATACCAGGGACAGACAGTGGCAGGAGCCACTGCCTTGCAGTTCCACAGTGCAAAAGCCACTGCAGACTTCCGAGCATTGCAATACACCCTGGGATTAACAGAATCTATCTAGAAGAGACTTCATTACTATTGTTACCACCACATGGAGCCGAAGCTCGAAAGAGAGATCAGACTGAAAAGAAAATGTCATCAATGACAACTGTGACTGCCACACTTCTGGCACACCTGCATTTGGGAGACCACGAAAGGTCGTTTCTGCAGGATGCCCAGAAGCAGGACTGCTTCTGACAAAGCCTGGAGCCCCGACGTGTCTCAGGAAGGTGGAGGTCTCCACTCCCACTGCCTGCAGCTTCTGTGATGTCACGGCCCCTCATTTCACCTCTGACCTCCACTTCGCACCCTCTCCCTCCTCTTCATCCCCACTGCTTGTGACAGCCTCATGGGAAGAACTGTCAAATCAAAGGAAAAGGCCAGCCTTCCCTCCACTCTGCCCAGGTAAAATGTTATTAAGCTCAATACTGCATTTCATCTAATGACCCAAGGGACTTATCACTGCCTTCACAGCCCATAGTGCATTCTTATCCCCCAAGTGAACATTGATCAAATCTGTATTAAATAGTTAAGCATTATACCCTGATAGGATGTTGTTTGCTACGTAATTGCATGTGTAATTAGTTAACGACAGCCATGCAGCCTTCTCGGCAGGTAATTTCTGCTTCCCCCACACACTGTATAATAACTCTGCAGTAAGTCACAGCCCAGAAAGTGGGTCTTCAACCAACGAGGACAATCTCAGAGCCTCAGGCAAAGAACTGTACCAAGTTTGATCGATACTTCCAGTAAAGACTTATCATTGCAAGCTTCCAAGGTGATATTTCTCAGACAGGCGTCAGATGATGTGAGACACAGTGTGGAGTTAGAGAGCTCCTTTCCGGGCAAAGGCAGAAGACTTCGCAAAAGCAAATCACTGGTCTGAGAGCCAGTGGAACAAAAAATAATTAGGTACGACTAAAGAACTAATGAAGGACATATAATTTTGATTATTTGTTTTGGAATACTGTTAGTATTCCTTTTTTATTGTTGTCATTTTATTGTTTTCATTTCTATATGAAGTCTCTTCTCATTCTTCTTGATTTATCTCTTACAATTAATTTAGTAGTTCACCCTTTCTTAAACATTTTCAAATGAAACACTTTTAAATGGCATTCTTGTTCTCACTGACCTTTCAGGATTCTCAAACACGCTCTTTTCTAAGTCTCTTCGCTGTTAATGGCAATGCAGTAACTTGCAATGTTCAGCAAGAATTTTGTTCTAATTTTTACCAGAACATAATTAAAACAAATGCATGGTACAGGCAAGGCTGTACCTGGAGTGTCATATTTGAGAGTTAATCTCATTTAATCAGGTGTGACAAGCCCACCATTAAGAAATAGGCACCGGGGTGTCTTGCTGGCTCAGTCAGGAGAGCATACAAGTCTTTATCCCTGAGTTGGGTGTTCGGGCCCCATGTTGGGACAGAGTTTACTTAAAAAAGAAAGGAAGCAACAGGCACTGTACTTCATTTGAAGGCTTCCCAGGAGACCAGTCTGTTACCTCACCATGGCAAATCAGGAAGCCTGAGCAGATTTGGGGCCCCTGAGGAGAGGTGAAACCACTACCTCACGGAGATACCACAGGCAAAATAGTGGAGGTGACTTTGCTGGTTTGGTTTCTTCACCTCAGGATAGAGGAGTAAATAAGACCAGTAAACAATACACCTGGAATAACAGAGACTACTGAAACTTCCTATGGTTATTAAGAAATCCTCAGACGGAAGTGAGTTTTCTGGGTTTTGCAGTTTCTTCACACCACAGGGCTTTAGGTTTTCAGACCCTATGCCAAGGGGGCACAAGTACACAAATGAACACTTCTTACTGAAGTTGTATAAATGAATCAGACCCAAACACAGGGAGATCAGCTTTTTGCTCATCAAGAGGAATTTCTGGAGATTAGTTGTGACCCTAGAGCTTCCACATTCTGAGCCAAATCTTCCAAAGAGTATCTTAGCACAATATTCCTGTGATGGCCACCATGGACAAATGTACATTCCAGCATCTTCACATATGTGCCCTGGAAAAGTCAATGGGACCTATGAACCAGGGAAGGCATAAACACACTCACCCAGATCACCCTCCCCCATTACCTACAGAAGATGCCTTAGAAGAGACATGCGTGCCTGTGCACACACACTCATTCACACTCAGAAACATGCAACATTTTCCACGGACCAGCAGCGACAACAGAGAAAGCCCAGCTCCACAGAAGGAAGAGGCAAACTTCCAGCTTGGGTCTCATTAAGGAAGGCTCAGAAACAGGCCAAGGCCAGAGCCTTCCTTAATGAGACCTTCCTTTCTCCATCACTGAAACATCCAAATAAAGCCAACCTTCCCTGCCCCCTCAGCCATGAGAGAGAAACCACTGTCCCTGGAGAGTTTTTCTCCTTTCATGTGTCACCTGGCTTCGTGCTACATTCTGAGCAGAATATACAAATGAAGAAACGCCTTTGGTGGTGGTGGGGGTACCTCTACACTGTTGTGACCTCTCTGCAGTCTCTGTTTTGAAATGCACCCTTGAGAAGTTCAAAGGACTTAGAGATTCAAGGTCAAGGAAGACGAAGACGTACCCCAGGGCAGGCTGGGGTCTGAGAGGTGAACAAACCCACTCTTCTCATGTCACAGCTGACGTGACCTCTGAAAGAACCTAGTGCATATCCTGGTCTCACGGAATTATTTTGCAAGACTCAGCTCTTCCTTTTCTTTTTAATGGTAGCTGAAGGCAGTTCAGATTCAAGTCCCTACACAAGCTGGAGTACTTGCCAAGCCCCTCCATTTCCCCCATGTGGGCTCAAACAGCTCTGTTAACCTCCAACTTCCAGGCATGGGGGTTGGGTGGGGGAGGCAGAGCTTGGCCACATTGGCTTCCCTCCAAGGGTCTCCTGTGATCCCCACTCACCATTCTTTTGTGTCTTGAGTTTTGGTGGCTCAGGCTCTGGGAGACATGGACAGGGCCCATCACAGAGGACGGTGAAGCTTTTGCCAGTAGAACAAGCATGGAACTCCAACTTGCACTGCAAAAGAGAGGCAGAAGAGGCTTTAAGAAGGCAGCCGAGCAGACCCCCACGTGGGGTCCCCAGGAAGCAGCTAGTCTCTCTCCAACCAGGTGGGCTCAGGGGAGCAGAGACAGAGAAGGAAGGAGTACATCTCAGGTCAAGGTCCGCATGGCAGAGCGCTGAAAAAGAAATGGCCTTTCATGTCTTTCTGAAGACACAGGGTAACCTCTGAGACCACCGGAGAGCACTGCGGTGCTTACTTTACTGGATGATAAATGCAGCTGTAACTGTTAACAGAAGTACTCATCCAAAATGACATCTCAGAGTCCCAGGGGTCCACCAAGGCCCACCCCTTCCACAGAAGGCCACCTCCCTCCATTTCCTTACTCCTTCCCTAGGGTACCTCTGCCCCAGTACAGGGATCCTAGACTCTCTCAGCTGCTCATATGCTCTCCCTGGGCACAGGGGCAGGGTAACCCCGAGTTAACACCCCGGGTGATGTGTGTGAGGCCCAGCCCTGACCCACCCAGAACATGCAAGGAGTGACTGCTTTTGCTTTGACCATCCCAAACCTGAGTGTTATACAGTCCTTCCCCGCAGAGGATACCCATGGGTGTCTCTAGCACAGGACTGGGTGCAAGCACCCATCTAATTCTTAGATTCAGGGGTGAAGCCCAAAAGTCGCCATCTCTTCATGTCAACCCTTCATCAGCTACACTGGTAGTGTTCTGGCCACTTCCTGCCTGTTTCACTACTTCTGCCACTTTTACCGTCAAGTCTCAACCGGTTCAGAACAAAGGCCGGAAAGAATGTTGTTTACAGGTGCAAAAGAGCATAACAGTTAACAGAATTTTTAGGATCCTGACATCTAAGGGATAAGACACGGACTCAGAGCAGTTAAATAACCCACAAAATATCATGATGCTCTTTTGGGGTGGATTCCAAGCCATGTCTGAGTGTGGGGCTCAGACCCTGGTCCTACAACATCGCTGTTTCCACGTGGAGAGCACATATCCCATACGGTACCCCAGGCTGCTACTGGCCTCCATCGCAGTTGTCTGACAGTTTGTTCTTTTTCCACTTATACAGTTCTCAAGATCCAGGTCTGCATGTAATCAACCTTCTGCTAAGGCCCTCAGGCTGAGAAACACGTGTGTACCTGGTGGAGGTTCCAAAGAAGAGGAGGCAAGCAAAATTTACTGAGCACCCACTTTGTCTGTTATTCTTATCAGAGGCCATGGGGAATCTTTTACAAGGGAAAAAAGAAAAAGGGAAGTTACAGTCCTTGCCCTTGGAAAACACAAATGTGTACTTCTGAAAAGCCCACAAGCATTTGCAAACCAGCACACCCGAGGACAGCTGAATACCGAGAAGGCCCAGCTATTCTGTTCCCATCCCGATGAGAAACCCAGGGCAAGAGTGTTTCAAACCTGGCTCTGAACCTACGGGAGTCACTCTGAGTAACTCCAAGTGTCACTCACACGGTGGCCAGCCTCACGAGAGAGAGTGTAACAGACAAGCCCATGGGGTGATGACTTCCCCTTGAGGCAAATGCCTTTTGTACAGACTTGTTAGGCATCTAGTATGTGTGCAGTGTGGCTGGAGGGGTGGTGGGGACTGGATGAAAGGCAGCCATGGCTCAGCCTCCAAACTCAAGATCTCCATGAAGAGGCAAAAAAGACCACATCCTTCTAAAGCTGTGCGGCCACGACTATGAGGCGGTCAGGAGTGGTGTGTGTGGAGGGATGGGAACAAAGAAGCCCCATAGGAATGGGATGGACTGCTGCCAGCCAGAGGGACAGAATGTAGCCAAGAGGAAGACTGGAAGGGGGCAGGGGGGGTGTCCGTGTAAAAAGCTTCTTCTCAAAGCCCGCAGCCGGTGTGCACGTGCCTGGGGCTGGAGAGAAGAACACCGTGGCCAGCCCCACCTCCTCCCGCCGCCCCTCTGCTCTGAAACAATCCTGCTTCAGTTCTCAAACTATTTGCTCAAGAGACTCTCCAAAGCTAATTTAGGGGCAACAGTATATTTGTGTATGAAAAATTATTTTGTGAAGTCAAAACTTAATACATTTACTTACTAAAAATCCTACTCTAAATTGCTGGTTCATATCCTTGATAGACTGTAAGACTCTTCCCAGACATTCCCCGGCCTTCCCTGAAAGCAGAATCTTGGCTTCGTTCACCACCCACCTGGGAAAATGGGACCCCCTCCGCGAAGACCTCTGTCCTGGCCACGTGACTCGATCTCCCTGGGGACTGCGAGTAGGTGTGACCGGCCGGGGTTGAGCAGCTGTTTTAAGAACCACTGCTTACTCGTATCTCCTCTCTTGCTCTTCCCTCTACCATGAAAATGACACGAACCACACTAGGGCTGCTCCTGTGGCCTGGGGCCCAGAGGGCGAGGGCAAGCACCAGAGCTGCAGCGAGCCCGCAGCCAACACGAAACAGGAACAAGGAGTTAATGTCTGCTGGCTGCCACAAGCCACAGATGTTTGGGGATCCTTCCTGAGCACAGCATAACGTAGCCAAGGGTGGCAGCACTGACTTCCTACTAGACCATGAGGTACTCGTCAGCTGGAAAGTCACGTCTTCTCCCAGGCACATAGTAGGTGTTCAGTAAACAGTTGCTAAAGGATATGGGTGGTGCTCTCCAGGCTTCTCGGGACCTCCGCTCTGGTTGCCAGCTGCGACCACCTCACCCGCACAAGGAACACAGGTGCTGGAGCTCAGCCTTCGGGATGTTCCCGGCAAAGCATCCTTGACCCACACCTGCTGCCTGAGGCCTCTCCTTGAGTTCCCATCCAGCACTCGGCCTTCTAGCCTCCCCGCTCACTCTCATCCATTGATGGACTCAGAATCTCGTCCATTTGCTTCCCAGATGCTCGGGAACACCTGTTTTCCTGGGGGGACTGCCCTCGCCCGAGAGTCCCTGCAGACTGTGATTCTGGTAACTCGGCTTCCTTGGCTGGCCCCAGAACCCCCTCTCATGGACAGCCGCTGTCACAATCTGCGGAGGCAGCCGGGCCTCCTCCCGGACCCCGGGGAGGTGCTATCAGAGAAAACAAGATTTATCTGCACCAGTGGAAACCCGTGTTTCAAGGGCACAGGCCTGCTTTTTTATCTTCCAGATAGAATGTGTTATTTAAATGAAGCTCGAAGGACTAGAATTCCATTTAATATAAAGCTCAACACATGCTATTTAGAGATACCTACATATGTGTGAATATATATTGGGAGGTAGGGTGACAAATACCAAGACAGGGGCGACCTCTGGGGCAGAGGCAGGACGACGGCCCCAGACAGGAGCCCAGAAAAACACCGTGAAGCCTGAGAATGGTTTATTCCCCAAAACTCAGTGATAGATTCCAAGGCTTTGGTCATTGGGCTTGACAACTTATAGAAACAAGACATCTACATTTGTGTATCAAATATTTCATGAGGAAATATAAAACAAAGTTGACATGCTTCCATCAAAGTGATGACCGAGCTCTACCCATGTCTCCCGGGGACTGTTGCTAAGGGGAGTAAATGAGGGCACACGTGGGCACCCGTAGGTAAGGGGAGAGGGCACCTGGTTCTGAGCCTGGCCGGGACTGTTGCTGGGCAGAGGGCCTCCTCGGGGCACCTCACGCATGTCCCTGTCCCATAGCACTTCACTAAGGCCCAACCCCTCCGCCCCAGGCTCTCGCTAGGGAAGAACAATTACACAGGCCAAAAGGTGGTCACTGCACCAGCCTTCCTCACAGGGGCCAGGCCACTTCCAAAGTACAGCGCTTCCCGCTAGACTGGGCTGCCCCCACTGAGGCCGTCACGCCGAGCAAAGGGCTCCAAAGCCCTCTCCCAACCTGCAGGCCACAGATGCTCGAGAACGTCCTGCCCACTCACCTTCAATCCCAAGTGGAGAAAATGCACAGAGCCTCTGGGATCTGCAGAAGTGTTCCCTGTGCTGTGGAGAGAATGATTCTGAAAACTCCAGGCAGGTATGCTAGCCCTCCCGTAGAGGACTGCCAAGAGAACGGGGCCAAGAGAAAAAAGAGGCAGCTCATGGTACTTTTCCCACGCAGCCATCCCATGACTAGGCTCTGGACCTAGCAGACACTGGGCTCTGACCTATCAGGACAGGAGCAGCCTCCTTTGGAAAAGATGGGGTCAGAATGCAAATTCTCCCACAGAGATGTGACGAGGGAGACCCAGGTGTCTCCTGACACCACGGGGATGGCACTGGCTCCTTTCACACATGACAAGCCTCCAGAATGGCCACACCTTCTCTCCCACAGTGTGCTCAGAGCTGCAGGTACAAGGTGGCAAAATCATGGACGGCGATTTGTTGGCAGGAAGGACGTGCTCCGGTGGCACTTATTGGCTTCCTCCACACCGGCCCCGGAGGTACTAGGGATGCACGCTGTCTGCCAGCACCTGCTGGCCTTCACTGACCTGCATCAGAGCAGTGTCTGCAGGCTCCAACTTAAAGAGGGTAGACTGGGAGCCTACCCCTTAGAGTCTGGACTTGGAGGTGGAAAAGCAAAAAAATGAAACAAAACAATCAAAAAGAACTACAAAATGACAATCTTGGGAACAGATAAAGGAGGACCCATAAAAAATTTTTTTTTAAGGAAGAATTGTGGGGAGAGAAGAGGAGGAAAGAGGTATAAATGCATTTTTGGGATTTAGAGTGGAGAGCCAGTCATTTACTCAAAGCTCCCATAGGGCCAAGCCTGCAGGCAAGCCCAGGAGCTCCTTCCCTGGGGAAGGAGACACACTGAACAAATGGAAAGACCCCTCAAGGTGGTCACTGCCACCTTCAGGGGCCCTTCCAGCCCTGGCCCGTATCAGAAGTGGGTCTAAACAGAGAGCAGTCACCACCGCCCTGACCCCACTTACTTTCTAGAAGAGACAACTTCGCACCTTGTATTAGGTATTGAATTATATCCATCCTACAAGACATTTGGGAGTCCTAACCCCCAGTATCTTCGAGGGTCTTTACAGAGATCATCAACTTAAAATGAGCTCAACAGCGC